GAAAGCGAGGTGACCGCTTTTAACCACTACGCTATCCGTGCAGTCAGTTCTTTATGGCATTTATAACTTTAGCGACTTACACTGTTTATTAATAAAAGGAGGAGGTCGATTTTTATTGTAAGAGATTACCATCGTCAAGCCGTGTGGTATTTGACCACTTAGCTCTTATTAAAATATAAATTTTCTTACTCAACCTAATGTTCAGAGTTAGGTAGAGTAAGTAGTAAATAGGTATCTATTTTGTTGAGGCAGGATCCTCAGAGCTCTCTTTATCTATCTGTCATCATCGCCTCGGTCTTCTTCGTAATTCTATGTTCCAGTATGGTGTTAAACAGGTAAAAAAATGAAACAAAAAACTCAACAAATGAAAGAAATTTATTGTATACAGGTTTTAAATATCCTCGCACATCATTACACCTGCCTAACCAGCCATTTCATTATGATATTTAACGTAAGGTATAAAGATCCTATAGGTAAAGGACATTACATATGAAAAAACGTTACTTTTTCACATCAAATCATCCTATTCAAGTTACAGTATAAGTAAGAAACAGTATTTTTACAAACATCGTCTACAATTCCACAATTTCAAATCAACTTTTTTTTTAAGTCGCCTCGCGACGGTCTTGGACGTTTGTTTATTTTTTTTTTTATCAAAAATTCAGTCGAATCTTCGTAAGCTTAGCTTCGCAATTGTTTTGACCATTTCAAAAATTTGACTAGATTTAATACAATAATGTTGTGCCAATCACATTAGTTTTTGCCAATTTTAATGATATCGCTTGTTTACTGTTGTTAGTTAACATATAAACATCACTTTTCTTACTGAGGAATTGAAAGATAATATATAATATTTTTATAATTTATAATCAAAATAATTATGAGTCGCTTAAATTAAACTCGAAATCTATTCATCTGTTTACGATAAACAATAATAATAAAAACTAAAGGAACAAAATAACAAAAATAAAGAGGCGAGTAAGGTATATTGAAAAAAATATTTCATTAAAACTTGTACTCAATAATTAAATAACAATATTATATTTTGATCTTGATAGCTCATTTCGCAGTTATATATATTATAAAAAAAAACGTGAGCCATTTATCGATTCTTTAGGAAATAACAGTTTTATCTAGTTTATACATTGGTCCATTACCTAACTGATTTGTTTGAATCACAAAAAAAGAATCCCAATAATAATTTCGCAAAGAAAACATTCGAAGAAAATGTCCCCCAGCAGTGTGATGTAATTTTTTTAAGCGTTATTTCAAAATAAATACGTGACGTCAGCAAATATTACATCTGCCGCGTCCATTTTATAACATTAAAGGTATTTTATATTTCTAAAATTAAATGCTTCTTGTTGTACATAATTTTTATAAAAAAAAAACGCGAATATTGAGCATCCGCGAACTGCGTCTGTTAAGACGATAAAAAACTTTCATTCAATATTCTATACCTTTCCACGATAATGCTAAATGTCAATAATAATAAGTCAATTATTGTAATAATAGTACAATAATTGTAAATGTTTTAAAATTAACCATCTAGGAATACATACAAGATGTAAAGGGAAAACAATTAGTGACGACGATAGGTGATTCTTACATTTATAGAAAATCGACGTTTTCCACTTACACACAATTTGTGCACGGTGTTCACGTTGAAATACTACATAACAACATCGCGCGTATTATTCAACGTCCACGGTGAGACACATGTACGAGTATAACTCGAAAACGTCGCACAAAGTTAGGTACAGTCACACAAACAAATAACTTGTGTCCATAAAAATGCTTAGTAAAATAACATTCTGGCAATGTCTTTTATGAGTTACCCGCCATACAAACGTTTCAAATTCAAAAATCGAATTCCACAATCCGAAAGTCGAATTGTTTTTTATTAAACGTTCGTACTATGTTAGTTCCATCCAAAATCCTATTAGAGTAGACCCATTGACGACTCGATATGCCGCGGATACTTATGGTATATTTTGTTTTAATTAAAAATGCAACTTTCCCTTCATTGTCTTTTGTTCCTGGACCAGTTGAGGACCGTTCAAGATTAACCTAACTCTTACGGAGAATTTATTTTATTTACGAAAAAAATTAACAAGAACATATTAAAGAATTGCTACGGACTACCTAATTAATTCAAAAGTACACTACAATATTAACTAAAATGCTTAAACTATGTTGAAAAATGATTGAACAATATACAATAAAAATGATTCACTAATAATCCAGTGACCTCTGCAAAACAGCAAGGAGCTTGTTCTCAAACTACACGTTAAAAAATGAGCTTTCAATTTAATAATTTTCAGCGCTATTTTGAAATGAGGTATTTTAACAGAGGCAGTTTTTTGTTAAAATCTTTTTTTATTCTTCATCGTGTGCTTTGACAACAACCCTCATTCGGCCTATCAGAAAATAACCAACGACACGGAGGATTTATCGTTACAGCGTTTTAGGCTAGTTAAGTAAGTTTATGTTGATCGACCATTAACGGTGGTTATTTTAAGGGCTGTGGAGATCACTGTCAATAACATTTTTAAGTGTTAAGGCGGCGTATACCATTTGTACCGACCGAACCAGTGCCATCATACACTTGGCTATTTTCTACTACATATCAGTCGCAACTCTCTTTTTAACCGGGAATAGAACCCCAAACACTTTGCACAAAAACAATGAATGCATAACATCTCAATATAATATGACAATTAATCATACATAAGGTTATTTTATAAAATAAAGCCACTTAAAAATTAACTAACGTTACAAAATAAGATTAAACAACATAATTATTTGTTCCCGATGCAAAAAATAGCTCTATTACTAATTAAAAAAATCTAATAACATTCTAAACGGAATGTTGATTATTACCTAAATTCTCTTTGCAAATTGTCCCATCCTATTATCTGTACAAACTTACACAAAATAACCTTTTTGTTTAAGCTATCAACAAATGCCAGGCATAACACACAGATTCGTGTACGTATTTTAAAGGAAAAAAAAAGTTGTTCGATTTTTAAATATTTCACTTTTCGAAATGCGGTCTGGTAGGGATGTCAACACGACGGTAAATATCTTATATTTGTCTTCAATATACAAAACTTTTCATCATTCAGATAAATGCACATAACGTTTATAGATTATTTTTAAGATTAAATGCTAAAAAGACGTCGAAAATTATGCACAGAGAAACAAAAGTGAAAGACATGCTATCGACTAGTTTAAAATTTTGAATATAAAAATTTTTGTTTTTTTCTGAGACCGTGTCCGACATCTCGGCATGGGGATATGTATTTTATTTTGGAAAATGCCGACAAATATCACTCTTCTATAATAAATTGTTTTGTTTTGCTCCGAAATGGATCTAGTTACTATAATATGTCGAAATGTCGAGTACAATCTCATGTACTTCTATTTTGCACATCACTCGTGGTCTCTGAAGAAAAATGTACGATTTTAAATTTTAACTTGTATATAATATAATTATGTATATTTTAATTACATACACAATACAAAGACTTCTTAATTTCCATGAGGCGCACACGTACACATAACTTACAATAAGTATCGTATGATAATTTTATATCCAAATAGTTTTTACCTAAATTTATTCTGGGAGAGCGTATACATTTTTCATCTCGTACTTCAATAATATACCTTTTGATTGAACACCAAAAAATTTCACAAATTTGAAGATATAATTTTTTTGAGGATTTTTGGGCTAATTATAATTTTAAAGTTGACAAGAATATAATAATGATTATCCACATTTTTGTATAGTCGATAAAACATTTAAAACTTGGACCATGAAAAATAAGAATATTATCTTCTTAAGATACAATAATAGTACATAAAATATATAAGTTCACTAGATGTATTTAATGTACGTACGTGTAAATGTTATATGTGGGGCCCGCAGGTCGTCGTTCAAACCGCACTCGTAATACCTAAATATCACATTCAGTAATATAGAAATCCACATGTTAGCTTAGACACAGTTAAATTACTATTTTTATACAAAACAATAATTGCACATAAGTCCGAACATAGCTTCGTGCAGGCGAAGCTGAGCTGACCGTTGAGACGCGTTTCCTTTCTACGTCTAGTGCCTGCTGTTATTTGTCGCTAGATCGCAACCTGGCGCAGGTCCTACAATCGCACTACCTGCCAATAGCGCTAATAATTTCATTCAATATATTGCCTATCTAATTATAAAAACACCGCACAAAATCTGCAATAGTTCACTTAAAAATCGATAACATTTACACTCATAGCTAGCTTTATAATTAATTTGTTACATTATTTTTTTATTACTTAAAAAATATTTTAAATAGTTAATTTTATAACGTTAACTTTTGGTTGTCATTTACTTAAAACAAGGTCAAAATTGAGGCTCTCGATTTGCGTGAATTTTGGACAACCCTAATGTTGTTTGTAACCTGCAGTACCGGTGGAAAATGTTCATTTGAATTTAAGAATAATAATTAATGTAAATTATTAGACAGAAGGTCATCGATATAAAGTTGCTATTGCTAACCTGAAGTATTTCATTAAAAAAGTTTTTGGAAGGCGACTGCAAGTTGCAACCAACAGTATCCGAATCTCTGTCATGGGACACTAAACACTATTATTACATTGTGTGATAATGCATTAGTAAAGCTGTGATATATTGAACTGGTTGTGACTTTTAGGTAACTATTGTGATATTTGGTGATCATGTGTCTATGTGTAGATACGTGAGAGTGGTGGAGACTGTCTGGACTGACCGAGAGAAGCCGAAACATAAACTGGAGACACTACATTTGTGTACACGACACAGGCGGTGAGTTCGGAGGCTGCGACTAAGTTTATTGTCACTACAACAGTATACACGGATAACGCGCGAGTTATCGACAAACCCCAGCCATATTGCACTAGAGTGACGTCGGCGAGCGGCGGAATGTACTTTAGTACTTTACATTTTATTATCACAAAGAGTGAGGGTAGCACTAGGCGCGGTCGGGGGGAGCGGCGGGCGGCACCGGGGCAGGAGACACGGCAGGCAGAGGCGGCGGGCCCGACCCGGCCAGCGACGGGCCCAGCCCTCCCATTGCCATGCCCAGGCCTGCCATCGCCGGGCCTGCACCTGGCGGCGGCGTGGGCGTGCCGTTCCGCGGTCGCAGCTTATCGGCGCGCAGCCGCTGCACGGCGTCGCGCATCTCCGCGGCCAGCGCCTGGTCCGAGCTGTCGAGGCGTTGTCGCCGCGCCGGCGGTTCGTCCTCGCCCGTCAACCGCCTCAGCAGCCCCGGTGTGGCCTCTCCAGGGACTCGTGGCTCGCTGGTGAGCCGCTGCAGTAATGCAGGCCGCTCGAGACTGGACCTGATGATTCCTTCAAGGAATGACCCATTAGCCGGTGGTGCCTCTTCTCGAAGTCTCCGCATCATGTGCGAAGCATACAGATCAGGGGCAGGTGGTGGTGCGAACCCTGCGCCACCCCAGAAGGAGTATCCGGTCGGATATCCCGCACTTTCCGGTCCGTTCATTCCGTTTGAGAACGGTTTTGTTGGCGGTTTGGGTGGCGGCGGCTTCTGTGGTTGTGGCTTGATATCTTGCGGCGGTTTCGGCTCGCGTTTTCTTGGCCGCATAAGATGGCGTTCTTTCACTTTATACTCGAGCGTGGAGTGCGGCACACCGTAGTAGGAGCCGGCTCGGTGCACGGACATTTCTCCGCGTTGAACTGCTTTCACAGCCTCTACGAGACTATCGCGGTCATAGTTGCGGTACTTGCCGCGCTTCGGTCGCGTACCCTTGCCTCCCGTCGCAGGTTGTCCATTATTGTTGGGCACAGCTTTAGAATTGCCTGGTGCGGGATAGCGTTGATTCTCAGGTGGAGTCTTTATGACTGATACGTGACGGTTAGCCGCGTTCATGAAAGGAAGTTCTCCGGGTTGATGGTGAGGTCGGTCTAGCGGTTGCTGGAATTTCTGACTGATGCTTTTAGCGATGACGTCACTAAGGGAAGTGAAGAGATGTTGTGTGGAAGGTGCATCGGCAAAGACAGAGTGCGGGAGAAGCAGCGGTTGCTGTGGTGGAGGTCCGACCGGAGTGACAGGAGTGATGCTTGATGCACACATGGGCATCCCGGCTGGTGAGGGGCTCTTTTCATCTGGAGGTGGAAACGTTGGTATTTTAAGGATGACTGAAGGCGGAGAGTCAGCTCTGTCATCGCTGTCTGGTTCTGAGTCGACGGGTTCTGGGTTGGCGCCAAATTTATTTAGTTTGTTGCGTAGAGTTGAGCGAGGTATATTATAGAGTAGAGCTGCGCGGCGGGTGCCGAGCCGGCCAGCCTGAATGTCGCGAACTGCCGACAATAGCTCTTCCTCAGTATAGGCTCTACGCACGCCGCTGTTGCTAGCTTCCTGAGCTGTTCGCTTCAATCTGTAACAATGAATGAGAACTTGGTTTAAAAGACAAGAATGCATCACAATTTAACTAAGAAACCAATTCGATCAACTCTAACATAACATAAGCCGTTTCAATTTTCTTTATGCTTTCTTCTATTCTTTCAGTCATATCGTACTATTCAAGGCAGGCGTTACTTCTCGAAGTTAAATATTATGAGTAACCTACACATGAGTTGTGACGTCACAATCCCTTATGAATCACAAATGGGTCACCGGTTAACGTCCTACAATCGTCTAAATTCAATATTTCAAAACCATATAGTGCCGTTTTAATCCGCGATAACGCAAAATGAGAAATATTTACTCTAGGTCTCTTCGATAACGGAGTACTATGAATGCATCTTTATTATGTTCCCTACAGAGTCGCTAATTAAACAAAAAATAGTCTTAGGTTGTCGAACATAAAGTACAAAATTCTTTATTGTTTCCTGTCGTCTTCAGTTTCATCTTGAATTGTGCTTTCTTATTTTTCGAATAGATTGTCTTGCAATAATCTGTTGTGTGTAAAGGGTTTAGGGTCGAGTTTCGCTCGGCTGCGGTGTTTGAGGATGCAAGGTCGATGCACCAACAGACTATCGGTGCATTTTTATTTGTTTTGGCGAGTCATGCGACCCAGATCGCAGTCTCGGAGAATGAATTTATTCAGTTATCGATTGGCTATTGTGTATAATATTTGTTGGATGATGTTTCAAGCTTATATCTGTGTACATAAGTTCAACTAAAAGGTTATTTACATTGTTTTTACACGGTTAATTAGAAAAGGGAGATACTACGAACATTGATCTCCCTCATGATGTCGTGGTTATAATTCAAGAATATCTAGACTGCTGAGCAAGAAGTCGTGGATTCGATTTCCACCAAAAAGGAATAATAAGCGTAATCATTTGGGTGATTCTTCGCTCTTTTTACTTCTACGTCATTACCCGCCATTATCATAAAAAATTTTGAAATAAAAATAGTCTTAAAAAATAAACTAAGTATATATTATGTGTATTTAAATTCTTATCATTATGTTTTGTACTTGATTTATATAACTGAGTATTTTAAAACAATTACCAACGGTTAAATTTCTGCAGAAGGAGAAGGACGCAGGAAACTAAAGAATTAAAAATAACGTTTTTTTTATTATTTATTTTATATAATTAAAAAGAATTTGCTCTGTGTCTATCCATTTAGTAATAAATGAGTATAGTTATTAGCAGTTCGGTTGCCACAGTATAGGTTCTGTCTAGTTTGGGAGTAGCCGTAGACGCCCGTGTGAGAGGTATAAAACAAAAAAAAAAGTTTCTTTTAGACCTCTGGGCCTCAATTCTGCTATTTTATGTTTACGCCAAGCCAGTGTCATACCACTGTAATAGCGTGTAATAGCAGAATTGAGGCCCTGATCTGATGTTCTCATCTATTGCAATATGACAGCTATTCATAATTTAATTTGTAAGGAATTTTCGGCGATTTAATACATTGAAACTTTTTATGGTGACATTATTACCATAAAACTTAAAATGTCGATTTATATATGCATAAGGATACGTGTAGGATTATTTAAATTTATTTATTGGCATAGGTTGGTATATGTTAACAGAAAAAAGTTAATGTGACGTGTGCGAATTCGACATACCACTGGTTTCTTTACTCAAAACTGAATTTTAGCACATAGCCGCTTCGCTAGTCGTAGCGCCTTGAAAAAAAACAGTACTAAAATTTCCCAAGAGCATACTTAAATAAAAGAACAACGTAAAAAAAACAAGGAACTACAAACACTCAAGTGTTATCTAAAAAAATACAAGAATTTCAATTTCATCACTCGGGTGAATCAGCGCAAATAATAAAAGTCTTGTGGACGTACGATAAACTTACTCCTTTCGCAATATTATTCCTGCAAAAGTAGAACGTTGACACTGGCAGATATGGGTTCCTTGACTTTGAAAACAAAATGTGATTGACATCTAAGGGCCAATAGCGCATGTTTTGTGAATGCGCATGTATTGCCAACTATATTGATATCGTGAGAGTTTAAAATGTCACCGTGCCGTTGTCTATGATCGCTTATTTTGACAGGTATCATACCTGAGACAAAAGATCGTGTAGGTATTATTTAAGTTTTATGTGTACATATATTTCACTTTTTAAGAAAGCATTATCACTAAGAAATTTAATTTGGATAAGAAGACTAAGGAAATTAAGAGTTCGTAACACAGCTTCATAAGAATATACAGCAGACAGTCAAATGTAATGGATTTGATTTTCTGCTATCTAATTTTGTACCTTATAACACCATTAGATAACAGGTAAACGACACTAAAAGACTGAGTGATGCTATAGGTTCGAGGAGAGAAGTGGTGAGAGGTACCATAGAAACTATTAGTGACTGTGGGTATCAAATCTGTCAAATGTTATGACACAAGCTAATTTATGGGTATTAGAACTCAAGGCAGAAGAAAAGGGAGTTATTGAAAGGATTTATATAGTACTAGGTATCAACCTCATTGATTATCTTTAGTTACTTATTAAATAAGTATATAAAAATTATTAGTTAGTACGTCCACAGAAAGTAAATAAATAATCTGCCAGCAATAAAATAGAACACGTCATCTTATTACACATCTTATAATGAAGGCAATAAACTTAAGCTAAATTAATTAGCCTTTGAAACTAATGACCAAATTAAAATCGTCCGGCATCTAATAAAGTAATAACTAGAATAAAGCTTTGTACTAAAATTTTAGCTTGTTTATTGTTCGTTCAAACGTTTGTTCAAAGGAAAAAAAAGATCATTTACAGTAGTCTAGAAGCTTAACTATTAATTCTTATTATTGAGTCATGCAAACTTATTTTGAATTATTAGATATCTTTTGTTGTATTGTTTAACTCAGCTCAGTCCTTTGACATGAAGCATTAAAAATACGGGCGAAATATTTTTCAATTTTAATTATGAAACTAGTGTGTATATCATATCATCTTACCATTTAACCCGATACAATGTACTAATAATCATTAACAATGACATATTATTTTTAATAACCTCGATAAAATGGCGTCAAGTGAGCATCTGTCAGTGAGCCATGATGGCGGGCTGTCAAAAGTACGTTGACCCGAGTCGATCGTTCAAAGTTTCGTTTTCATGTTTTAATGGGTGCGTTCACACTGCTATTGTTTGTGTTATCCAAGTCGGGCGTTTCAATAGGAAGTGCGATTAAAATGCACGTCCAAAGCGAATGTTGCGATCGCGTTATGACCAATGGAGCCAGGGCGGTGGCGGTGGCGTAGCGAATCGTTAATATGCGCTGGCTTTACTGCTAATACTAATGTTTATTACATTTTTAGTCAAAGTTTCGCTATTTTCCTTTCAAAGTATTGTTTAAGGTTGGCAAATATAAAACCTGCAGCTTCATTACCTAAGAAACAGAAGCTTAAAGGTGGCTCTATACATTCCCTTTTTCGAATAACAAGCAATTAAAATTGAATTATCAAAGTGTATTTCCGCATTTATTTATTTATATTTAAATAGGAGAGTTAATATTATATACCAATGAAGGACAGATTATCGTTTACTAATTAGACACAAATTTTATTGAATCACATGAAAATTTTCAACCATTGCCGATCACCTTTCGTTAACTTTTTCTCAAAAAGACTATAATTTGTTATTAAAAATAATAGATAATAGATTGAAATCTAAAGTAACTTCAATAGCAAAAGTCTATTATCAAAATTATAAAGATCTCTGAATCAAATTATCGAGGACATAAGCTGTGTAAGTTCCATTTAATCAGAAAAACTTCGTCGCTTACAAATAAGCACGTAAATGCGTGTTTGCCTCCTAATCCACTTATGTACTCACCCCTCCCGGCTCTTGATTTTATAAAGTGTTCAAATGGAAAACATTGGTTATATGTACATTTACCTATACAGATCTGACATCGACTAAGTATAAAGGGTATTTTAACGTATAAATTTTATTACGGCAATGTAGATTTCGAAAATCATAAACGAATTAGTTATATAATTGTAATAAGTAATTGGCAGGTCTGTATAAAAGGTCTAATGATTACAAGAGAAGCTGGAACCCTGCGTTAAGGAAAAAAGAAGAGTTCAGTTTGCCTAAGATTGAGAGATATGATTGTGAGCATATTTATGTACCCTACCTATTTGTAACATCGATCACATGGTACTCTAGTTAACTCCCTTTAAAGTGATGACGTTAATGTATTGAATGGGACCTCACCCATTTATTGGCATTTCTAATATTATTATACCTTATGTTTGGTTTTAAATGCTCTCTTTAAAACCAAAATGGGTAGGACACAGTAAAACACTTTCTACACATTCCCACGTCACTAACATTATAAGTAATTGTAGGTCATCAGAGTGACCAATTAATAAATGCTTTTATCACTTTAATCTAGGTAAACGTGAATAAATTGGATTAGACATTAGCACTGGCCTTAATTTAAATCAAATTGCATTTGGCCACTGTCGCATGTCTGTAGACAACCTTATTTTATTTTGTTTATAACTGAGGGCTTAAACTTGGATTAAAAAACTTGTAATTTAATATATAAAAATTAGATTGTTCGCGTTTTTATATGATATACAGGTTAGCTTTCATCCAGAAAAAACAATTATGCCCGGATGCTCAAAAAATGTCTTTGAGAAGAGCGAAGTCCCAGGCACAAGCAAGTAATTTAATAAATGAGGTTTTTTTTCGTTTTATTTGGAATAGAAAAGGTTACCTATGAGGAATACCCTACGAAATTAGTCTTAATAGGTTACTCTTTAATTCCATTAACGAATAGAAAAGCTATTAAATCCTATATCAAAGCAGTAGCAGTAGATATATTTTTGTCATCATCATCAACAGCCTCTAACATTCTACAGCTGCACATAGGCCTCTCCTTGAAAAATAGGTTTTGGCCTACTATACCACACTGGCAAGACGGGTCGCTGTAGGTTTCGTTTCAAGTTTTCCTTTCAGTGCTGTTGTCCTGCAGAGTTTGCTCACTTAGTCGGTCTTTACGACTCCTACGGGATAGGGGTGTTGACTCTCTGTATTTTTATTCTGTCACCATACGGATATAATTTTGAGCTTAACTTATTAATGTAAAGGTTTGTTTTAGATTCTAAAGCTAATCGCCACATTTTTAAATAGGTTACGTGGTCTGTTGTCTTAATCGCGGTATGATTTAGTTAATTATGGATCAATTGTTGTTCAGGTATTTACCGCAGGAGAGCCATGCTTCGGTGGGTACATATGAGTCGGCATTGATATCATGGTCTCTCTCTCTCTAGTGTGAGCTTATTTTACATCAAATCGCTCTCAACGGCGAGGGCGTTTGGCGTTGCGATCTGTCAAGATTTCCGTGCGGGCCAAACGCAATGCCCAAAGCGGTCACCGTGACGATCGAGTTGATATGAAATAAACTCACACTAGGCATTTTACTTTTTCAACGCAGGAAAGGCAACCTATGGCCACTTGTTTTGCCAATGTGTTTGAAAAGTTTCAAGACGATCTACTGAGCGTATAAGGCATGAAAACGTAAAATATAAATAATCAAACAACCGACATTCTTAGATATACATTTAAATTACAAAATTGACTTAAATAATAAAACGATAAAAAGTTTTATGCCATGTTGCTAATCCTTCAAGACGTCAAAGAGTGCATTCTTAATTTTTTAACTTTTCACCCTAAGTAGTAATCTTTTTTTTTTAAAGACAACTCACCCACTAGGAATAAATCCTAGATCGCGAATATACATATAACGGACACAAACAACACCCAGACTTAGAACGGCAATTTGTGGATCACAGAAAGTGTCTTCCCATGTGGGGATCGAAGCCCCAACACAGCATAGTAGTAAGCGGCGTGGCGACCGCTTTAACCACTACGCCATCCTTGCAGTCCAGTTCGCGTTTGAAAGTTTACAATCAACTGCTTATGCAAAATACCTATTGCTGTTCTTCATACAGGGTCGTTAATAATTAAACTAACTTGTTTTCAAGCGTTTCACAGTTATATGCTTATTATTGAGGGGTTTTTATCTTACCTGTTATCAAAGAGCTTAGCATCCGGTGGGGGCGTCCCACTGGTGCTGGAGGTGGACTTATTGCTGAGGTCCAGAGGCTGTTCCGCTTGATGGGGAGACGAAGACGCTGGTGCCTTTTCACTCACTTCTGGCAGCCTGGGGATTGGAGAATGGGTCAGTTAAAAATACTTACACTAATTCTTAAAATCTATTGTCAATTTTCTGATGCCATTAGGATTTCAAGCATTTATTCTATCTGTCCCTCCCAACTGTCCCAAATAGAACAAACAAAAGTGGAAGTTTCATTAGTTCTTTTTCCTTCTTCTTCTTTCTTAAATTTTATAACTACTTCGAAATAAAATTATATCCATTAAAAATTCCCCTTTTTCAAACTAAGGTATATAACCGATAGTTACCGACCTACGAGTATAAAGTAAAACATAAGTTAAAGGGAAAACCGAGGTTATTATCAAGAAAAATAAAATTCGTAAAAAAAGTTTAAATAAGCACTTAAGTAAAGGAAATAAAATCTACTTTTGAAAACATTATACATGCCTATAAGCCAGTATTACCTCACCGTGAAATTTGTATTTTTATAAAAATCACGTGTCTAATTTCCCGCTCACTCAAACAATTTCTTTCATTTTCGGACATTTCTGATGGCACTTCATATCCGGTCTAATTGCACGCAATAACAGCAGAACTATTTAGAATTAATATAAAAAGCCAAAGAACTTTTCATTTTAAATTTCCCATTCAGTTTGTTATTAAATTAATAAAATAGGTCTTAAAACACTCACCAATGAAAATTGATATAATAACCAAAATGGCTTAAGTCACTGAAACCTATGTTCCACATTTCGCTTTTTGTCATTTGAATAAATAATACTTATATTTTTTTTAATAATTATATCGATATGACAATCCGAAGTGGATAATTACTTTCAAACAAATTAGCAATTAATAACCAAAGATAAAAAATACTCATACAAATAAATACATCGTAATCACAATTTATTACAACACTTCACCACAGCCATTAATTATTTAAGGAAACTGAATTTTATGACGCAAATCCGATTTATATTTTTGTTTTAAATGTAAGTAAACAACTTTCGAGCTATGAAGTCAAATGTAATGTGAATAGAAATATACTAAATAATTTAAAAATTTAACTACGGTAGGTAAATAGTACAGTAGTGCACATAAATTTCTTGTAAAGCGTGTCATTTGCACAGTTGCACTTGATGCAGAACGCACGCATTGTTCAAAAAAATTACTAAATGTTATTAAAATGACAATAAACTGCACACAGGTTCAGTGACCTGTCTGTATATGTGTGGATACGACTGTCCTTTGCGTAACACTTGAATACACAGGACAAAAGTTTTATCAGTAGATACTAGGCACTGAAGGACGTTAGTTTAAGGACATGTTTAAACATGAATAATTTTGTTTTGAATATTTTCCTCAATTTTGTTGAAAGTTGAGTCATTGGTAGTTTAGTGTGCCCTATTGTTACCACATAATCTATTGTCAAACTATTTTAATAATAGGTTTAGTAGCGTTGGTAATTCTTTTAGTAGGGTACTGTCACTGAAAAAATAATAAGCTTTACTGAATGTCTTAATAGAGAAACTAATATCTTCCTGACTGCTGTCAGTGGAAATATCTACATCTTCAGTTAAAGTGGTCTCTTTGTGATCTAATCATTAATTCTCATGAACCATGTCTTTTTCTTTTGGTGAAGCTGTTTATATATAAGGCAGAAGTAGTGCTCAAAGTACTTTTCAATGCTTATTAATTTTCATCACATCACATAAACAGCCTTTAACAGTCCACTGCTGGACATAAGCCTCTCCTTAGAAAGGAGGTTTTGGCCTACTGTACCACGCTGGCCACACCCTGGACACACTGTCTGGCACAAACCCTATACCAACCCGTCTGGCACAAACCCTATACCAACCCGTCTGGCACAAACCCTATACCAACTCGTGCTGTTGTTCTGCGTAGTTTTTTCTCTTAGTCGATTCTTACGACACCCACGGGATGAATAGGTGACAAATAGTTCCCATATTTTAATGTATTTTAAAAATTTTGTAAGTGACTGTACAATTTATTTAATTAAAACATTTGCGCTGTTTATTTAGATCATGCCTTTAAAATTTATTCTGTATTTGTTTGTAATTAAATTATTGTGAGACAGTTTCTATCTAATGTTTTATTTTTGATGGTTTTTGTTCTAATTATATTTTGTGGTTAGTTTGTGGCCCCTCGCATTTAAATGGGGAATTGTATTTATAATTATCCTTGAGTATGATTTAGTATAATAATTTAATATTTTTGACAATAATGAAATCTTTAATAACAAATTTGCTTTAATTGCAAACCGAAAATACCTAATTAACCTTTAAATTAATTTGCTGAAGTCGTTTAAATATTATTTTAATACGAATGGAAAACATATAGGAATACCGTTTTCTCATGTATGTCTCTCAACGGACACTCCGTTGAGAGACATACATGAGAAAACGGAAACCTAAACATTTTTGAAGGGTTTATAGCTTGTAGGTGAGCAGTATGCTTCTTTGCCACCTTATAAAAAGATATCCTATTTCAAATATGGCTGAGGTTCTCCGAACTTCTGTAAACGATCGAGAAGCTATTAAGAGTCCATCAGATGATGATGGTGGTGGTCATAAAACACCAGCTTATCTGCAAAACCGGGTTTCCAGTCTTTTTGAATTTACCTTCTTTCCACACTTGCTAAAATTCCACGCTTGTACTCATTCCATGCTTGCCCAAATTCCACATTTGTACCTATTCCAAATTGCCCCCCTTTCCCACAGTCCGACTGTGCCTATCCAAGTTTGGACATGTCAGTATTCCCGCTGAGTCTATTGAGTGTTCTATTCCAAACGCTCTCTATTGTGAGGGAGGCTGCAACAATGTCTTCGGCGTGAATTTCCATCTGCTCGGGACCATTTTAACGTCTCAATAATAATGAACAGGGAAACATTGTCGAACTGAACAGGTGATACGCGCTATTGAAGCAAACGACAGTGAAACGGCATAGAAACGACATGAAAACGATATTGTTGTTACATTAACTATATTGGAATTCAATTTATGAATTTTAATTTCAAAGGTGTATTATATTAAAAGAGATAAATTACTTCAAAATAATGATCAAAAATATTAATTACTTTGTAGCTTCTATTAATGTATTTGTCGTGTTTCAGGCTATTAGGTATTTCAAATGTATTACCTAAATATGAACGACAGAGCTAGAGAAGAGGCATAATGGAGTCTTCAGACAACTAGTATGTTCAATTTTAAATTTAGATAGCAGTCAGTGTTATATCATGCTTGTTAATTCCAAAAAACTACAGGTATATTCATTCAGCTACTTTAACGACTTTAGAAAATTATAACTTATTCAAATACTGCGAAAACTATTAAGATACAATAAATAGATTAAATATTTATACCTAACTGTCTATTTGTAACCAACTAGTACAGATTATTATAAGATGTTTCACAGCAAGAAATATATATAGAAGAAGCTGTGTTGCACATTATCGTTTCAATATCGTTTCTCAAGATATTCCCGGACGAATCGTTCCGAGTGACGGGACATACAAAAGGCGAGTGTGACGTTATTGTCGACGGCTTCTTCAGACGTGGGACTTCCATTGCCCTATAAAACGAATTTGTATGACACGCAGCCTGTTTGTTTGTTTGTTAGATGCAACACACATGTAGTTTATTATGTTTGTTGCCTGTGTTGAGCGAGGCCTATGTCCAGCAGTGGACATCCCATGGCTGCAATGATCATGACGATGATTATACAGTGGAAAACTATATTAATTCTTGTTGTCAAGTTTCTTTTTTAAGTAAATTTTATTAAAAGAGATATATGATGTCATAACATAGTACCGTTATGTCGTTTAAAAAAAACACATTCTGATTTTACTTCTCAGCATACCCTATTCCTCTCTAGCAAGCTGTACTTCTTCTTGTATAATTTCAACTTTTATCCCTTACTGTTTACAATCACGAAGCCTATAAAGGGACCTACAAAAGTCTCTAACAAATTTGCTCTTAAAACCAAAGTTAAACAACACAAACAGATGAACAACACACAACAAGGGAACACAAATCGGTTTAGTTGTTCAAAGAAACGAAAGCCGCCGGAACAGTGATTGTCGGCGCCGCGTCCGTTCACAGCGACAAGCTTTCCAAGACGTATCTACTCAAGTTCTCGGTTATTAACCAGAGTTTGGAACATTTCGAGAAGCTTTTTGATCTCTCTCGTTTTAAATATCTTGGTTAGTTTTTAAACGAGACGTTGGCTCATATTGTAATGATAATAGCGATAAAAACCGCCAATTGTAACTACTGGCAATGAATTTTTGGATATTCTTTTACGTGACTACTTTAAGGTGATGTACAGTAAAGAATATTGTATTGTATAATTTAAATAACTTCATACTCCTATATGTTTTAGCGAGAATACGTAATTTTATTAATTATCTAATTAGAATACTCATATATTATCTCTCTTGATAAAATGGATATTTCCGCAGGTTCCCGTTAATATACTAATAACCTCATACATCTTACACACGGCTGTCTAATCCCAAACTAGGCGGAGCCTGTACTATGGTAACCAGACTACCGATTAACATACTTATATATTTCTAAATACATACATATTATAGATAAATTACACCCAGACACAGAACAAATGATCGTGCTCATCATTCAAATATTTGTTCTGGGTGGGAATCGAACCCACGACCTTCGGTTTAGCAATCAGGGTCACTAACCACTAGACCAACAGGCCCGTCGCTTTTGTCAATCAATATTTCCACGACAAAGCCTATGTGCTGTTTCATTCGTTTAGCCGTTTTAGCGTGATTAAGTATCAAACATGCACACATAAATCTACACAAACTACTCGCGTTTACGATATTTAGGTAATTGGATATTTTCTTTACAGTAATTACAATGGAATGAGATATAAAAGCAATGTTTTTGGTAGGTATGAAAATATATTTATATTAAAAGTCAAAGGCGATTGTAGCCTTAATTTCAGAAGGTAATCTGTATCTCGTCTTTGTCTCGTCTTTGTCCGTGTGGTGACGGATTAA